CAGCCATCCGTTATGTGCCGTCCCGAGTACAGTGTCCTGAGGAGACCCACTGAAGAAGCTACCACAGGAGCAAAAAGCGAGGAAGCAGGGGGGGGGATCACACATTCCTCCCCCAGCCAGACCACCCTGAGCAGCTCCCAACTCCCCCCCCCCTCCTCAGACAGCTCTCCCGACCCATTTCCTACGTTGATGTTTTTAAGTAATAAAAAGCGACTGCTTGTCCTGTTTCTGCATATCGTACCCTGCGCATTTTAATCTCTTCCAATCTAAATTGTTGCGTATCAGCACTGGTCCTCCCTGACTTTTCGTTTTTTACGCACCCTTCATGGAAAGAGGTGTGTTTGTGTGCAGTAAACAGCGGCTAAAATGCCAACAGCGCTGGGCAGGACGCTCCGTTACTCCCGCACATCAAACCCCCGCCATCGATTCTCCCCTCCCCCTGGGCTGTCCTCTGAGCATTAATTCTTCATGAGGCTTTCGGGCCGCGGTCTCCGCTTCGGTCCGCTTACCGAGGTGTGAAGCACTTAATAGCCGCCCCCAGCTCCGCTAGAGGCATCGGTTCAGGAGACCCAGCCCGGGGGCTCCGCTGCACAGTACTGCCGAGGACATGTTTGGTTTTGGACGTGTGCTGTCCAATGACCCCACAGCCGTACATGCCGTATCTGGGCTTTGGAAACTCCTATAGTTTACCAGTATGTCGAAAGCAAAATGCAGGCATATAGATGGCCTACCATTGGGTCCTTGCTACTGGTTACATGCCATTTGAGCCTCACAGTGCACAACACTGGCAGCAGGTTTGATATTACCCTGCATATGGGGAATACATGGGGCCCCCTGCTGGTTGTGCCCGGAACTGATGTTTGCAAGGTCAGTATATTTTTATGTGCCCTCATTTTAAAAGATTTACATTGATTGTGAAACCACAAGGAGAAAATTTAATGTCAGAGCTATAACCCGGGGTAATAGCTTAAACATAAAAGAGAACGATTTGTATCTGCAAGAGCAATGATATGACGGGAGCTGTGGTTTTTTGGTCTTGCGCTGACCTGGGGGCAGGATGCCACACCGCAAACCCGAGAGGCGCCTGCTGTCATGTGACGTCTCGCCGCATCCCTGTCCCCCGGACCTGCGCCACGTTTTCTGATTGTAGGCGTAGGACAGTCATAGAAACCGACACACACAAGATAACAGACCCAGAGCGACCCCCATCGCCTGTATTCTCAAGACTCAACGGAGGAGGGACTTTTAGGGGGGGTGGGGGGGTGAGTGTGGTGCCACTTCATAAAAGGTGGCGGGGTTCGAGAGGACTCGTCCATAATGGGGAGGGGGACTTCAGCAGCCTCCCAGGGACAGACTAAACAAAAATGACACCTCTGTGATACACCAGCCCCTGTGTGACCCTGACAGTCAGTGAGCTTCAAACTGAATTAAAGCCTCTCTGACAGTGTTTTTGCTGGGGGGGGCTAAGCTAGGCTACACTGGAAGGTGCTGGTCACTACGGAGCAGCGCGAGGCGGCTGCCAGGTTGGGCTGGGGGGGGGGGGGCGTCTCTCTTTGCTTTTGTCACGTTTAGTCTGCTTTCCCTTTGCAAAGATTCACCAGGGATGGATTTTCATTGTCTTCCCCTTCAAATCAATAACAATTTACCTTTAATAGAGAATCTTCCACCCCACCATCCAGATATAAAATCCATGCAGCATGTTTATGAAAGTACAACAACATGCATCTGAAATGGGACACATATGAAGACCCACCACCCATGCCTGCTCCCCCCCCCCAGCTGACAAGCCTCACGGCCTCGCTGCTGCCCACGCGCGTGCAGTTTTCTCCGTAGTCAGCCGGGGACGTCAGTTAGAATGCGGTTCAGGGTCGGACCCGAACACAAGCCGGCGGCCCTGAGATGATGAAGGCCGCCTCACAAAGGTGGGAAAGGAAACAATTAGCTGGGAGAGCTGACTGGCGCGGGTCCCGGAGCGTGGTGGTCGGGGGGGAGGTCAGCAGGGCCGACAGCCTTAACAAGATGACAGGATTTACAAAGT